ATTAAGAGCGCAATATACATACTCAACATCACTACGATGATAATGTAAAAAGTGTTTAAAATTATTTGTATTATCTGGAATGCAGTGAGTAGGCGAGTACTTTGAAATTCTCGAGATTTGCGGGTTTGTACAGAGCTGCCGGAATACGCAATTGGCAGTACGAAATTTGTCGATCGGTGAAGGGACCTTTAATTTCAATCAAAGCGGTGAATAAGTATTCACGGAACGTGAATGCAGACTGATTGAATGTAATAGAGTTGCTTTTGACGATGAATGAAGAAAAATATTTGAAGGAAAATCGTATCTTCGAAACGTAATTACAAGTATCTCTCTCCGGCAATTATCAGTTCGTGTTTATATTTACTTTCTGGTTAAAATATAATATTCTGATTTTATTGTTACTTGTTATAGCGGGTGATCAGTCACCTTATACGCTATACAGGCGAGTACGGCGGGTTATCTCTCTACAGGTGTACGGTTTACTAACGGCGTGATTGATACCGACATCTAACGGCGAAAGGATAAATTACCACATCAAATACAGGACTACCTATACCCACGTGTTAATTTATTTAAATTTCAAAGAGATTCAAATAGTAATTGCTGATTTGGAACTTAAAGCGAGTTCGATTGCTTATCGGTTTTATTAAAACGTTAATAACAAACGCCGAGTACGCCGCACGAGAGGCAATGACATAAAAAGTTGTATATTTTCTTTATAACTGTCCTAACAAATGGGCGTGTTTTCTATAGCAATAAAGGCATTGTTTCGACACGTGGCAGGTGCAAATTTGTAGAAATCAATTAGTATAAACGACAAAGAGTACAATGAAAATGAATTGAAAATGAGCGCGAGTTGAAATGCTGGAACCGAGTACGAACTTTAAATTGATTATTACGAACAGTAAAAACTGCTTGAAAAAGCAAACAACGCGACGACGAAATCACCTCGGTGGTTGTTTGTGATATACAATCACTCCGAATTAATAATTGTAGCAATACTTTGGATGTGCTATTTGGCTCAGGTTTATGGTAGATTTTTTCAAAATGATATAAAATGTGATCACCTTGTTTATACGTATGAGCCGTTAGTAGCATTTATATTTGGCTTATCGTAATTTCATGTTAAGTAAATTCGTTTACTTCGCGATAACGCGTTTAGCCACAGTTTCCCTCTCGCATGCAAAACAGTTGGCAACTGGATAGCTGCAAGCTGACCAAGAGTGGGACCAAATTGCAATATTTGCCCATCAAAATCATTGAGAACTTCCCAACTAATATATCAGCTCGCTTAAGTTTACCAGCTGTTTGCCAACATTGTTTTCCTTGCCAAAACTGTGAGGTTCAATAAATTTTGAATTGTTCGAGTTTCCCTAATTCGAGTTCCGTAAGGTAAACCTCAGGAAAAAAAGACCCATTACCAGCGTAGCAAAGTATCGAATATAGATTTTAAACAAATATAGATTTTTTTAGATTTTAATTTCGTAGAGTGTTAAAGTTATAGAGGGGTCCCGCGATAGTATCATATGATAAGTCGTATTCTTGTAAACATAATAGTTCGCTCTTGGTCGACGTCCCGGGCGTAGTTCAAACTTGAGCTTTACTTAACTTCAGAATTAACTAATTAAATCTTGCGACTTGGCTTATTGATAGGCCACTTTATAGGCAACCAAGTTCGACCGCGATCGAATCGGTCGTAAATAGTTCCTTGATTACGTCCTTTTCACGTAACTTTGCGCACTATCGTGGAGTCCACGTGGACCCAAGATGTAATTTGCAAATTAAATAATCTTATCATTCCACACGAAGTCAATTGACTTACTTAACAATAAAACAGTAACAGTATCAATATCGCGGTTATGTTGGGTCGGTGATCGCCAGCCCCGTGCGTTAATTAAAGGGCCAACAATGGTCTTATATTGCCCTCAGAAATAAATGGGACCGGTGTCCCAAAATCCATCAAGTTACAATTCAAATATCGATATTTTTAAAGTTTTATTTTTCTTGCAAATTTTAATGCAGAACCTTATTATAACCCTACTCTTCAAACCAACGAAATGGTTTACCAATCTTAAAGTTATGCACGTTTTAATTTGTAAAACTATGTATTAAAGATTAATTTATTAATAATGAGTTGATATTTGCAAATTTCACTGTATATCGGTTTTCTCATGACTGAAAAAAATCTAATTCTAGTGATGGTGATTACGTACCGGTATTTAATGTTGTGTATAGTTCAATGAAATTAGTTGGAAATATTAGGTCGATTTCTTACAAAACCGTGCAGATCGATACAACAAATTGAATAAAATTTCGTCTCGGTACCTTCTCGACGGGCCAATAAATTAATTTAAAGAGCTCTTCACATTTGCCGCGCCATCGAGACGTGTAAATGTTCAAGTGCACTTAATCGGGGTTGTAAGGCCCGATCTCAGTTTATTGGCCGCGAACACCTTCGGCAAACGGCACTATCCTCCAACTTAATATTGCATAGTTAGAGGATAATAAACTGACGCGAGATCGACTCTCACAGCCCCGATTAAGTGCACATTTAAGGACAATTAAGCTCCCCAACATTTTCAAATTGCTTATTAAGAATTCTAAACTTACAAGGAAGGCATCCCAGGTCGATCTCTCCGATTTCATTTTCTTTTATAATATGTTATAGTTCACTAAAAACTAAGCGACATGTATTTTTTTTATCTGCCATTAAACACTTTAAGGGGGTGAAACCACCATCCAAAGTAAGGCCTGTGAGGGGTGGCTCACCCCTTAATTTTTTGTTTAATTGAGAAAATTATATTTTTCATTTCCCGTTATGAGAAAGCATTTCCAGGTGGATTGGTTAAAAAATATTATGTTCTTGTGGATGAAACTACCAAATCGCCCCTTGACATGCCTTACTTTGGATGGTGGTTTCAGCCCCTTAATGTATTTAATGGCAGATAAAAAAATACGTGTCGCTTAGTTCTTAGTCTACTATAACATATTATAAAAGAAATCAAATCGGAGAGATCGACCTGGGATACCTTCCTTGTCAGATATTTTTCGCGTTGTACATTATATACATTATATTGCGCATAAGCAACTGCTTTCCGGATACTTTCGCAATTTCGAACTTTTTGGGAAAATGTTCTGAATCCTTATGAACCGTTTCGCTATTGCAGCACCTTTCAAATACATGCTTGTATATGTCATGCACTTCGCTGCATATTGAGTTACCATGTACCGGATTGAAGAAGCAATCTTGTTAGGTCTCTGAATCTCCGTACATAATACAACACGAGTACTATATCTCTCCGGCTTATAAATGTTGCTTTATCGTAGATATCGTATCAGTTCCGAAGGGTCCGGCCATTCTTATCTCGGAAGTTGATTACCTTATTTCTCCACTCTACGGTGACTGAGTCGACTCGTATGAACATGTATATATGTACATATATGCGAATAAGAATATCGTGGGTGTGCCGTACATACCTCGATGCAACTAAATTCGAGGGGTGTGTTATCAGTACAATCTGTACTGGTCATTGTCGTAGTAACAGGGATGCCAGAATGCTAGAATATTAAAATCATCGCCACAATATGAAATGGACATAGAGGACTGGTGAAATAAATAATTCGGCAAGATTGAATTTATCATAACATTCAGATTAAACAATATCATCGTGCTCGGTAACTGTAATATATAACATTCTTTTGCAGATATTATCAGATAAAACAACGTTTCACGGAGAGAATTAACATTTTGACACCTGATTGATCATTTTTTCCATATTTTTCAAAATTTGTTACGTCGTAAGACTTCGTGCATTTTTGTTGTAGAAGGGCCCACGCAGGGAACAGAGCACGATAAAAATTACCATACGTATGCTTGTTGTTTTAGGATATACTCTTAATGCGAGGCTCAGAACACAGTATCTCGAGATTCACTACCCGAACAAGGAACGTCTCGACAAGTATGCTAATTTTCGCAATGCCACGCGAATCCGACCTCCGCGTTGAACATACATACACCCCACAACTGCGATATAACTGTTCGTTTTTTCCTTCTTCCTAGGTCCGTTACAAATACTTTGCAGCTACTTGGCTGCTCTGCGGCACGTCTACAATCCGCCATATTGCTTTCGTCTCTAGTTATGAATAAGAAAAATTAACCCTAATTGCGATATAATTGTCCATTTTAACCTTTTTCCTAGCTCCGTTACGTCATACAGGTCTTATGACAGTTGTACACTCATATATAAACCTTCATACACAATTGTCCATGAATTGCCACATATATGATTGAAAAATAGTAGGCATACAAAAGATTTCGAAATTTATTACACGTGTATCATATCACCTCAAGGTGTTACGAAAGTGTCATATATCCATATCAAACAGTGAAAATATTTCTAAAACTTTTCTCCAAACTGGGTGTACCGAGTAATTTCAAACTTTAACACGTGATTATGGAGATCCTAACGTACGTCTTGCAACTCGCGGAATTTGATTTTTCGGGGAAAAAAAAAGGAAAATATATTTATCCCGGACAAGAACCAAAAAGAAAACTTTCGTTCGAAACGAAACTCCATGAGTATCAAGACCTTCGTTAGGGCCTCTATAATCCCGGGTTAAGTTTTCAAACGATTCGGAGCACCCGGTTTGGGGAACAGTTTTCCATGTTTATTTCGTAACACTTTCCAATCACCTTAAAAAGAGGGGTCGTCGCTCCAGGTGTCGAATGTCTAGAAATACCGGCATAAAAGCACTTCGCAGCAGGGCCGATCCAAGATTCAGCAGAAACGGCGTTACGCCGTCGACGGGACCCTCGAGCGCGTGGCCCACTTAGAGCCGGGCTGCGGCGCCGCTGGCCGCGTGCGCGGCGTCGGCGCATGCGCGGCCGCTGCGGTACCGCGCGTCGCTATCAGGCGGAGCGCTCGGGCGCGCTCGGCTCGAGCCGAGCGCGGGCGAAGGGGCCCGAGCGCGAAGCGCGCGCGGCAGACGGTCTTCGCGCGTCGAGCGATCTGGTTGGCATCCGCGAGACTCGCCGAGCCGGACTGTGGCACACTCGTACCCCGCGCGTCCTCGTAACCGCGTGACCACCGCGCTCCGCAGGAGTGCTCCACTCGGACCGAGCCATCCCTCGCCGACTTCTGCACGCGAGAGCCCCTACTCGCGAGGAGTTTTGTGACGGTTCGCGAGCCGGTTGTTTGGTGAATTCTCTGAGTGATGTGCGCGACAACGTCGAGCCGCCGCCGCCTGGAGATGCTCGTCCTCGGCACCTGCCTGGCCGTCCTGTGCGCCTCCTACGCTCAAGGTGCGGAAATTACGGAAGAAAAAAAAACGTTTTTTTGCGATCGTGTCTCCTCTGCTTTACCGAATTTGCCGCCGCCTATGCGGAGTGGACGTAGACGGGAGGTTTTAAACTCGTCTGGGTTCACGGCCGAGGGAAGTGAAGTAGGAAGCGAAGTAACGGTGAACGGACCTCGTTAATTGGCGCTTCAATGACTCGGCTCTTACCTACGTGGAAAGAAACGGCATAGAGATTTTCGCCGGCTATTTCGCGCCTCGAGATATAATTCTTATTTCTTGCGGATCTTCGGGAAAGTTGTGGAATTCTTTCGGAAGTTTAACGAAACGTTTTCCGAGGTCGATCTCCGCGAAGCTTGCACCTTCAAGGAAAGCTTGCGATTTATGAAACTAAGGAGTTTGGTGTTTCTATTGTTACGCGTAGTATTCCTTATCGAACGGAGTTAGGTGAACTCGAGGAAATGTTGATAACAGAAATTTTACCACGATTCGATTACTAAGACATAAGATCGCGATAGAACTGTTTTTTTTTCCCAAATTTCATTTCATGTTGGGTAATCTAACGGGAGAGATCGTACCCGAATTATTCCGTTATTCCACCGTAAGCTTTCTTAATGTTATAAATAAATCGTACCTTGAAATTAAATTCAACTTGTAAATTTGAATAGACGTTCCCAGCGATAAATGAAAATATCTTGTAGGTGTACGAGGACTCGATAATATTTTTCCTCGTACAGGTAAATGCCGTTGAGGTGAGCTCATGCCTTACGTAAAGGTAAAGAGAAATTTCAATGGATATACAAATACATGCGCATCTTTTATATACACTTAGCTGGGAGCTTATTCCCTCGGCGCATCCGTGAGAGGCGAAAGACGGCAAATTCGGTCGCGCAAAGTGGACTTTAGGTGTAATTATAGTTTAAGAGACTAGGCGAGGAAGGCGAAAGATTTCCGAGGAGGGGGGAAACAAAAAGGATCCTGCAATCGACCTCTCTTCGGGATCTTTAACCCGGGAGTTTTTCCGCAAAGTTTTCCCGGAGTTTCCCGTCGAGAATCGGATAGATCGGGCTCAAAAGTACCGCCAGGAATGGAGACAATCGATCGTGGAAACTCCCGGGGAAAAGCGAGTGAATGGAGTCGCCCTCGGTTATTTTTAACCTTTTACGCCTTACTCGCGGTCGAGGATCGCCACGGAGATGGAGAGAGAAAGAGAATGGACAGGACGGGGAAAGAATTTCCTCCGGTGAGGCTATCGCAACCTTGAGAATCGGTCGAAAGTGTCCGCACAACCTTGGCTATCCTCGGAAGTAAATAGTGGAAGGTGGGAACGGGAAGTGGATAGGAAACTTTCCACCAGGTGGAAATGTCGGGGCGAGAATATCGAGACCGATATTCGATCAATGAACGCTCACTCGATAAGCGGGGCCATATATAAAATTCCTGCAATTTTGGGAAAATATGAAAAAAAAATGTTGACCAGTTTGCCTAATTTGTGGTTACTTCGAATCTTCTTCCCTTTTTGGAGGGTCGCTTTGGACCCTGCAGGGAAATCGGAAATTTTTGTATCGGAATGTTGACCAATATCTAGTAGGGGAAAAATATTCCTACTTTCGGAGCACTCGAATGTAACATTTCGGAGCCGAAAGAGTACTCAAGGCTGCTTCGGGACGTAAATATTGACGAACGACGGAGGAAAGATGAAGGAATGTTATCAATGGCCGTAGCTCTTAAAATTTCGTTTTTAGACGTATTTGGGAGTCGGAATCGGGAATCGTAAACGAGAGAAAAGAGACTTTTCTTCTCGAATGAAAATGTTCGTTGATAGGGGTATACCTTCTATCCTTGGTATGTATTGAACGTTAAAGCCGAAGGTGGGAAAGGTATGGGGAATTTCTCCGACTTTGGAAAAGTCGGACATCTTTCCTTCTTTAAGACCGTTGTATCTCACTGAGGTCGATTCACGAAACAATTCTCGTCGCGATCGATGCCGAAAGAATTTTTATCGAGTCGTAACTCCGTTGAGTTACGAGATATCTCTGATGGGTCGTGACGTGACTTTTTTTTTATTTAACTTCGAAGGAAAGTAAACACTTAAGGTGGACGGTATGCTCGGGTAATGAGGGAGAGCTTACTCAGGGCTTAAGAACATTCGACTCAATTTTCGAAATAATTCCCTAGGCGGACTTCTACGTCGGTGAATGAGCGAGACATGGAAGGTATTTCCCTTTTTCGTTCTCCCTTGTAAACTCGTTGGGCACGTTCGCGACCCTGAGGATTAGTTGAAAGTACTTAGGAATGTGAGTGTCTCGGTGCAGTAAGTACCGAAGGTGGGGCCGTAAAGAGTCGGGAGAAGGAGATAGAAAGAGAGAGAGAGAGAGAACCGTCAGAGAAGTTGGAAACTTTCCGAGCTGCGAGGGAATCGATATATTCCCCGAGAAGGCTCTGCTCGAATGATGGATGGGAAAACGGCCCAATGGAATCCTGCTTCGGGATGTTCCGAGGAAATCGGGAGAAAACTCGTTGACGTCGTTTTTATTAAACTTGGACACCTACATTTTTTTCCGGATCACCCGAAGTCCGCCGTCAACGGCTCTGGTCGCTGGCGAAAGACTTGGGAAAACTTATGAAAAAGTGATTACCTCGCAGTTTACATATTAGAGTCATGGTTTCCTGTAATGATTGCACTCGTTAAGCCGGAAACAAGGGTTAGCCTTCGAGTGACGTGCGAAGTCGACGTTATTTTCCCTAACGCGACGGTGTAGTCGGTTTAGTCGTTTTTAGGAAACTTGGCCATCGTAATTTCCCTGAATCATTCGAAATCTCAACAAACGACTCCGTTATTTCGTGAGATAATTTCGGGAAAGACTTGGAGAGAATATTATTGCTGGAAAATTTATTTTCTATTAACGCGGATCTTCGCGAAAAGTGGCGCGTTTGTTAAGCTGAAATGAAGGGAGAGTCTTCGAATGACGAGGGAAAACGATGACTGGAAACGCCTGGAAAAGTCGACAAGGGAAGTGAAGGCGTTGGTGCTATTTCACTTATCGCAAATAATTCGATGTATACACCATTCGCATACGCTATACACGCATACACTATTCGATGTATGGGCGAAATTCATGAAGGCCTACAGGCAATAGTGGACCAAATATTGGATGTGTATACACTGTTTTCGCAGTTAAAGGAGGTTAAACTCGGACCTCGGAATTTCCTCGGATCACTCGAGATCTCATCAACGATTCTCCCGATTTGAGTACTAATTTTCGGAAAAATTTAGAAAAAAATAAAAATGACTACCTGGAAATTTAGATGTTAAAAACGTGAAATTTCGTGAGAAAAGGCACGCTTGTTAAGCTGCAATTAAGGAATAGGCTTCGAATGGCCAGCGAAAACGATCAATGGAAACGATTGGGAAAGTCGAGAGGTGGAGTAAAGATATTAATGACGTCATTTGTCGCATAAAGCGACGATGTAGTCGATGACGTTTTATTAAATTTGAACATCGACATCTCCTCGGATGACTCGAAATCATATCGACTCCGTTCTTTCCCGAAATGATATCGGGGAAACAGCTTTACGAAAAAGTGACTGCCGGGAAATTGATTTGCTACAAAATATGATACTCCGCGAGAAGTGGCGCATTTGTAAGATCCAAAATGGGAGATAGTCTTCGAATTGCGAACAATAACGATCGCTGGTAAATACTCGGATTAAATGGTGGATGCATGGCTTTCACGGTTGAAGGGTTAAACCTGGACATCGACATTTCCTCGGCTCAATTGAAATCCTCCGAAGGGTTATTCACTCCGGAAATCGTGGATTTTAATGCTCGAAATCACAGTTGGAAATCACCGAGAGAGAGTATCATAATTTTACGGCCTAAAGTCACTTGGCACCGAATCGCATTGTTGTTTATCGTATGAAATCAAAGGCTATCGATTCTCAAAGAATGAAATTGTTTTTACCAATTTCCAAGTGAAAGGCCCCTCGAAATCCTCTCTTTTGAGGAACAATCTTGGGATAAACTTGGGAAAAAATGATTACTTGGAAATTCAGGTTGAAATGCGCGAAAATTGGCGCACACGTTAAGCCGAAAACAAGGAGAGAGCCTTCGAATGGCGGGCCGAAACTATTGCTGGAAACGCTCGGAAAGCCGATCGGGGGAACGAAGGCGTTGATGTTATTTCGCATAACGCGAACGTGTAGTCGATGACATCAATACGTGAAATAAGCCCGTTTGCGATGTCTGCGGTTCGGACGAACCGCGTGCGGTCCGCTCGACGGTTCAATTATGAACACGGTCGCGGCATAACTTTATCGCGCGGTAATGAAATATAATGTGGGGGATTAATGTGTAACGAGGTGATGTGTGCTGGGCGGAATTAACATGATGCCCCAGTGGCCGGGTTGTCGTTCTACGTTGAAGTTGGTCGGCGAAAACCGAACTCGGGCGAGGACTGATGGTTGTATCAGTTATCAGTAAGATAAATTCGGGAAGGCGGGCCATTCGATATGCCGACTTCTCCCGAAATTTCGCCATTTTTCATTTTCTCCTTTCGTTTACTCGGGATATCGCCACGATTGCAGGAGTTCCCGATTCTGCGATTTTACGGCGCCGCAGAGCACGCGAAAGCGAGAAGTATTTGTTTACGCTTACGCAATGCGTATCCGATGGCACGCACACCAGGTAAAAATGCGGTTACCGGTACGTGATACAATCCCCCTTTTTACGAAGTCGCATGAATCACCCACGGCAAGGCATAACGCATATGAGAACTATTAATAGACCAGATCGTCCAGAGTGGCTAAAATTGTCCGGACTCGGTGCACCTTTCGCGACATTTTGCTTGTATCTCCTTACGCGACGGGTTTGGAACCCTTTCGTTACCTTGGACGAGATATCTCGCGACCCAATACTAGCCGATCAACGCTTTTGACGAGATACCTCGCGATCCGGTAGTAGCGGATTAACACTTTTGACGATGATCTAGCTTTCTAGCACCAATA